AGGGCGCTGTGAGTGTGCACCTTTTTCTTGTTTCTCATATGCTTCTACCTTTGTGTCATGTGATAGAAATGTAAGTGAAGCAGCTCAACTGGTGAATAACTATGCTTTGCAGTTTTGCAGGCCTATGTTTAGTATATATTTGTTATATATATCTATGTATCTATATCATGTAAGAATATTTTAACAATGTCTTCTTGCTCTGGTAATGTAAAGCAAGTGAGAGAGGTATATACAAGTAGTATCTATTTTGTAGTTTATGTATACAAGAACTAAACGTTCAATACATGTTGATAATACTGCAACATTGTTCTATAAAAAAAAATAAACATTTTCCAATAGTAGTGTTGCTAGGGTTATTGTATTGTATTTTAGTATTAGTAACTCCGTAAACGAACACTTGTATCTCTGTTTAAGATCTTAAGATCCAAAAATACAACCTCCAAAGAACCTTCATCAAATAACCATGTGACCATGTATATCGAATAACATTCATGAAGTTTTATTGGTGCCATGCTTCTTTCGAGTTGTATTTCCTTGTATCAATACTTGCCATTTTAATGTCTATCTTTTGGTATATGATCAAAAAAGAACAATCTCTATTCAAGATCGTTCTTGACAGTAAAGGGTTGAATTTAACCACATCACATGTTTAACTGCTCTTCTGTCAGAACTGTAGGGTCATTATGTACATAGTATGTCAATTGTTTTGATTCATCTACCACAAACTACGTGACAATATGTTTTGAGAGTATTGAACATTCATGGTTAACCCTTGAGCTGTCAAATTTGTTGCTATGTCTCCGTTATTAATATTCTATGTCAGGCCAAAACCGCAGTATTTACATGGGTATTTAGTTTTGGTTAATGAGCCCTTGAGTATCATTGTAGCCGTCTTTAGCAAATAAACACAAACACGTCAATGTCTAAGGGGCAGATCCTGACGCATTGACTGTTTTTAGTGACTATGTCACACAAACAGCAAATGCAAAGCGAATAGCCATGCTGAAGCCTTCTTACCAAAACTAAGCAGGCAAACAAAACACATAAAAGACAGAAAAACACACAAATAGAGGTATGTGCAGCAACAGCTATTACTATTGGGTTAATAGTGCTTGTTTTTTTGAATTGTTGTTTTTGACACAGTCTCCAAATCCAAAAATTCCAAAAAATACACAATTTCCAAAACTATTGACCCAATAGTCTTAGCTGCACAAACATCCATTGGGTTGGAATTTTTGGATTTGAAGACTATGTCACATTCCAAACATTCCACAAAATATAAAACTATTGACCCAATAGTCTTAGCTGCGCCAACATCCATTGGGTTGGAATTTTTAGAAATTTGGGATTTTTGTGTTACAGCAGTGCAGTACAAAGATCCGGATATGATGATTGTGTGGTTCATGACTGCAGTGCAATGCAAAATTCAGATATTGCAAGAGTTGTAGTTGAGTGCAGTTGCAGAAAAAAGAGCGCAGTTGCAGAAAGAATAGAACAATTAGAAAAAGTGTTCTACGACTCCAGGCTGCTGCGAGGGCCTGTTGAAGCACCGGCGGCTGACCGGCAGACGTCCGGCCGCGACTGAGGGCATTTTGGTCAGTCTTGCAGTAGCAGTAGCACCAGTGGAGCTGGAGAACGTAGAAGCACCCAAAAGCAGTGGGGAATCATTTTCTCCTACAAATAGGGCCTTGTCCACTTCCATGATAGTTTCAGGGAGGGTAACTTTTCTTCCAACTCACGATGTGCCGGTCGCCGACTTCCCCGAAAACGACTCCCACCCCGCTTCCACACCCCGCTCTTTGCCCAACCGCGCGAGGCGTTGTTGTCCCATCATCCTGATCCGAAGCGTGCCCGGCCTCATGTGGATCGAGCACCCACTCATCAATCTGCCAGCTATTGGTGCTTCGGCGGTCGCTGGTCGGTCGAAACTCCGAGTTGTTACCTCAGAGAAAAGATGCTGAGTTCTCTGAGTTGGCTGTGGGCCATGGCACCCCAGGACACCCTTGGTTGACTGCGGATCAGTTGAACAGATTCCTCTATGTTTCGGGATGTCAACCCACCAGGGTGAAAGAGGCCCCAGATTTTGACCCACACAAGGAGAGGCACCCGGTGAAATTTTAGGCACCCGGTGCTGTAGACCTGGAAAGGAGCAAGTCTACATGTGCTACATGATCTAAGTGACCCTTATTCTTGGTCTTTCCGTCCAATTGGGCGTTGGTTTTCGGAACGGGGGGGGCTCTTCTTTCACCGCTTTCGGTCAGTTCGCACCGGTTTCCAACGCCGATCACCGCTCGGAGCGCCCGAAGTCGCCAAGGTACACCGAACCAGCGCTGGCTTGGCAAAGCGTCTGAGAGGGGAACCAGGTCGGCCAAACCAAGACGGTCGTTGGGAGCTTGCAACGTGCTCGGCCTCGGGCAAAATTTTCTAAAGAAAACAATAATGGACGAGTCAGACTGCTGAATGAATCATATTCTCCCAAATGAAACTTATCACGTCACCTCCAACTACTTGCAAGCGACTTGTGACATCTTGTGGTAAGTCCACCAAAGCGGGACAACTGACCGAGTTTGTCGCTTGGCCCAACGATCTTCGAAAATCCAGAACTGCCAGCCATGCATGCCAGTGGCGTAATTCGTGCGGTTGAACTGGGTTGGTGTTGGCCAGAAGTTGATCCTCAGTTAGCCTGAAAGTGAGTGAACAGCAGTCCTGCCTCGTTTGGGACTTAATGTGGGAGTTGGCTTGGAATGATTTGGTTTCTCCCTTTATTGTACAGCCTTGGTTTGCTGAGGTGGCAATTCAGCGGCTTAGCATTTTACCTCTTTCCAATGGGCAGGGAAACAGAAGCACAATTGATTTTTTTCAGGATATTCAAAACCACATGGTTGAACAAGTAGATCACGTACAGCCAACCAATCAAGGTTGCATGATTTTGGGTATCTTCTCCTGCAAACAAAACGGAGAAACGGCCAGCAGCAGCACCTCATGTTTGTAGTCGGCGCACCGATCTAAAGTCAGATTGGGCAGATGAAAGAGCGGTTTGACTGGTTGATGCAGCAAAGAACCTCCCCCTGGTGAAAGACCATTTCGTAAGCCGGGTGCCTGGATGTGTCCTGTTTGTCGGTACACCCTGCATCCTTTTCTGTTTGGCAGTCTTAGGAGGCTCCAAAAAGAAGAAAAAGGGCTTATGGCCTGGGCTCACCCACAACAAGCGGCCACACCTTACCCATGTCGACGACGCCAGAGTAGCGAAGGTACATCATCACGAACCGACGCCTCCAAACCCTTCCTTGGGATGACACCTATCCTTTTGCACACGTCTAAAGCCATCTCCATTTTCCGAAACATTGAAAGGCGATATTTTTTGCAGGCTCCATAAAGAGCTCATTACCAATCAAACGGCCCGCCCCCCATCCAACCTGTCAATTGGTTGCGGCCGCCCATTACAAGACCCCAACACTGGGAACTTCGATCAGCACCGGACTCGAAAAAGCTCTCCGAAATGATGGCCGAAATGGAGGCTTTTTCAAGTGGTGACCGTGGTGACCCAACGTCTAAAGGGTGCCTTCTACAGTGCCTTCTTACAGCTTGCCTTCCTTCGGCATCACCTCCGAACGGCCCCAAAAAGACCAAGAACGCGGCGCACTCATTCCTGAGGCTCTCGCGGGACCTCTTCGACGTGGCAGATGCGGCGACGCCGGAGCGTGCAGCCTCGCCGGAGCGACAGGCCAGGTGTTTGTCCAGCGAAGTTCGTAGCGTCCGACCGCTCCGTTCGTAGCGATGCCCCTTGCTACTAGTAGTAACGCCCTTGTTGCTAGTAAAACGACATCTAATAGCAGTGGCCTCCAAGCTACTAGCTTCTTGCTATACTAGTAGTAATGGCCTCCAACCTACTAGCGCTGGCCTCCAACCTAGAAGTGATGCCCTCCTCTCCCGTGTTTTTTTTTCCCGGTTCGATTCTGAAAGGGGAGCGTCTTAGACAGACATCTACCGGATTGTGAGGGAGATTCTGCGATCCGGCGAGCGATTCCCCTTGAAACCGATAGCTGTTCGGAGCAGCGACCACGGGAGGGACACGTTCACCACTTGCTATGTAGACGGTCCCGTTTCTCAAACAGGCTGTGTTGTGTTCCTGTTTGGGGTCTCTTGCCGGGAGAATTCATTTTCTTTTTGCAAGAAACGCTTCAAACATGTTTTTGGTAGTTTGTTCAAATGACCCTGAGCCAGTTTCCGGAAGATGAGCGACCTGATGGTTTGATTGGTCAGGAGAGACCTGTCCCTAGCGTTTGTCTTTCCTTGCCGCGACCACCCACCTCTCTGATTGTGGTGAGTCATGTGTTGGTTGCGGCGCTGGCGGCGCTGCCCGAAATGAGGATCGCACTTGAGCGATGGAGATGTTTTGCAAGACTTTTCGGTCAAGTAGACTCTTGATTAATAACCACCCCTTTTGAATTGGAACATCCTGTTCATATATGGGGAGTTATTAATCAAGAGTCTACATGATTCTCTTCACCGGCTGCGGAACCGCGGTTTCCAACCGTGCGCGGAGGTGGATTCGTCGAGGCGCGATTGAAGAGCGGAGCCGATGGGTTTTTGGTGCCGCAGCTTTGGATTTCTGGGCTGCAGCTTTGTGTGACAATGAGAGAATCTAAGAGAATCACTGCACGAATCACTGCACTAACTCCACTAACTGCACCAACCGTGCGAAGTCTCCTGCTGAAACTTGGAGTTGAATCCATTGTTGGGGGACGAAGCTAGTGAAACAAGGAGGAGAGCGGGACTGAGCTCGCCAGGCTCTCGGTCAAGGAGCTCAAACAGCTGATTGCAGAGCCAGGGGCTTGGTACATTCGAAGGATCCGTGTCTATCTCTGTACCATTGAACTATTCCACCATGGAGTACTCAGCAGCTTGCTTTTGGCTGCTCTCCCTGCCCGCAAAGGTTTTCAAACTCAAATGGGGCGTTCCAGATGAGACATGTTCTTTGAGGTTGGCGGTGGTTTGTCGCCTCAATGGGCTTTCAAAGGTGTACTGCCTGGACCCGAAGATGGAGAGAAGAAGTTGCTTCGAATCGGTCGTCCATGGCATAAGGAGTCAGAAGGAAGCCGTCTTTCGATCCCCAAGTGTTGAACGGTCGGGGTCGACACTTTTTGAGCCACTCGCAGTGACGCCGAACCATTTACAGGAAGCTTCCACCGCGGAAGTGTGGATTCGGGGGGCTGAAAATCCCACTGCTCTGTCCTTGTTGGGTGATCTTTCCGCCCACCCCGCCCACCCACGAGTGCGCGGCCCTCTCTCTCCCTTTTCCCGCACTTCGGTGACTCGCAGAAGTCGCATTCCCATCAAACGGCTCGGAAAACCCAAGAAGCAGTTGTTCTTCTCTCAAAGCGTCTGCCCCTCACCCTTAAGACTTCAATCGCTTCTCTCCCAGTGCGACCGAGAAACGCAGCGAGTGCCGCACGCAGGGCCGGCCTTTCGGACGAGGGTCTGGTGGAGAAGGTGGAGCTGGTGCAGCTCTTGCAGAGGCGCAGCGAAAAGCTCCGGGCGAACGGGTCGGTGACGTGTAGACGAAGCGGTCGATTTTGGGGGTAAGGGTGGTGGACATCGGACATCGCCTGGGGGCACTGAAAAGAGGAACCAAAACCGAGAACTGAGGACCCAAAACTGCACGTGTATGGTTCTGGATGTGTTTTCTTCGACGATTTTTGGGATCTGGATCTTCAGTTGCCATTTGGATGATTTTGGATTTCTTCAGGGGCAAGGAAGGTTTCAAAAGCCCCATGACGATTCACCCGGTTTCAAGGTTTCAAGGCGTGTCTTGACGTGTGACGATTCGCCCCAAGGTTTCAAGACCCGATGGACCTTGGTGTGTCTTGAAACGGAACGTTCGGTCCGCCGGGTGCGACCGACCTCGTCGTCGCGGCGGGACATTTCAGCACGTTGAAGGCCAGACATTTCTAGACTTGGCACATGACTTGACACCACTCAACATGACTTGGCTGGATGAACTTGGGCTTGGGAAGGGTGACAATACAGATGAACAACAGCTGGTAGGCTTGGTTCCTGCTTGGTTCAGTGGAAGACTGCTGTGAGAGGTGGGCCAAAGGGCCCTACCAGAGGGAGAGCGAGAGTTGGGACGCCAGCACTACAGCGGGCGTGACTGGTCGCTGTGGCGGGCGTGACTCGTACACAAACTCAAGCAGCAAGGGCTTTAGCTATCGGGGCCCCCACCATCACAGAAACCGCATGTGCTCCACATGGCACACGAGAGCCGAAGTCGGCACACGATGGCGAGCCATCGCGCCGAACCGCCTGGCACATGCCCTGTAGGAACCACCGAACCCTCCGCGGAGTACACGAAACCTCCGAACCGCCCCGAGCAGCATGACAGTTCTGTTCTTATTCACTCCGACGGACAGACAGACAGAGAGAGACAGACAGACAGACAGACAGACAGACAGACAGACAGACAGACAGA